TAACATAATAAAAAAAATAAAATTTAAAAAAAATAAAAAATAAAAGAGATCTCTCTCAACAGTGAACAGTATAAGTAGTTAGAAACCAAATAGACATTGCCCAATCAAGCACAGCACTCAGTATATTAATAAAAGGAAACAGAAAGACAGGAAAAGGAGGCAAGTGGGTACCCTCTTGTGGAAAATGGTGTGTTATTCTTTTCTTAGGGCCTCAATAAAAAGAACAAAATCCCCAACTTTGGACAAAGTCCTAAGTAGTTAAAATCTTCCAACTATTTGGCATGGACAGTTTTCAGCTTCCATCGTGTACTTTACCTTTTACAGGGAGGGGTTTGGGAAGAGCACAGATATTTTCCAAAATTCTCGGTTAGACCCAATAAAATGATTTATCTGCTTTTTTATATTCTTGTGTAGTCATCTTTTATAATATTATATATTTAGCAATGTACATCAAGTCAATCATTACAAAAATTACTATAATGAATATTGAAAGTTTTCCCATATAATATGAAGTTAAAAAATAAAGCAGTGTGTAAAACCACATTTACATCGTCAATCCTCATGGTGTGTAGATTCCATATTTGCAAATTCACGTACTCACCAGAATTTATTTGTAACCCCAAAATCAATACTCAGGGCATCTTTGGAATCATTCACAGAAATGCACAGAGCAGTGAATAAATTGAGTTCACCGACACATGTGTTTCCAGCTGAGGTTAAACAAGGAAACGCTTGTTGCAGCTCTCATATGTGAACATGCTTCCCACATTTTTGTGCTTTTGGTTGGTGATTTTGCCATTTAAAAGAGCCCAGGCATAGTGATGAAGTACTGTCTGGTGTTCCTAAATGCAAGAAGGCTGTGATAGTGCCTCAGAGAAAATAAACATGTTATATGAACCTCATTCAGGCATCGGTTATAGTGAATCTGGCCACGAGTTCAATGTTAATGGATCAACAATATATATTAAATAAGGTATCTTTAAACAGAATCACATATAAAAGCAAGGTTATATATAGACTCGTTGACAAAAATGTGACCAGAAGGTCACGGGAACCTAACCCCATAATTCCCCTAGGAGTGGAAGTTCAATATTTGCTAATTCAGTGTTCACAATGACTTTACACAACATAACTACTGCAAATGATGAGAATCAACTACATATATATAATTCTAATGATATTCTTACTTTTTGTATAAATATGGGGAAGGGCTGGAAGTAAATACCCCTAAACAGTAATTTTTGCATAATGGAAAATTGTGGTTTTTATTCATTTTTATATTTTCCCTGGATTTTTCAAGATTATATATATAACCAAAAGTTGCATTAATCAAAAATCAAAGTATTCTCTTCACCCCTAAAAAACAGTCTCCCCTCCCTCCCAAGGCAGCTCTAGTTTGATGAATCCATTAGATGACTTAGCCCTTTTCTTCTTTAAGGGAATTAAGTCTACAAAGGTTCTATGTCTGAATATCAGCAAACAGGTGGACTCTAAGCATCTCTATTGTGGATTTACCAGTAAGGTTTATACCCATTGAATACTCAATGCTGTATGATTTTGTATATCAAATTAGTAAACTAAAATAGGAGTACTCTATTAAACCCAAAGGTCATGGCCTCTTTTCTGATACAATGTACAATGTACAATTTCTTTACGTCCCCAGCTATTTTTGACCACAGGCTTTCAGACAGAAAATGTGTAGAAGCTCCCTTAGGCGATTAAGCTCTTTGCCCTGGATTTATTTAGTATAATACAAATTGCATCCTGGGCACCGAAGCTCATTTTTATACTACATCCAGGAAGCAAAAAAGATTTTCAAAGACCCAACTGGCTTAGTTTGTGAAAGGTGATGAGAAAGACCTGAAAACTGAAAAATGTAGGTTAGATACTTTTAGACACATTTTCTAAGAGTGGGCTCTGGAAATAGACGATTGAAGAGTTATATAATTCCTGACGGTATGAGATTGGACTAAAATAAATCAAATGCCCCAGATTTGTCATCTAGAGCTTCCTTTAAGAGGATACATTTAGAGTGAAAGTCCTTGTACTGAGCTTTGCGTCACACGCAATGACGCCTCCCACCCTCCCTCCGCCACCATGCGCCACCATGCACCGCCTATCGGCTCTCTCAAAGATTGGACATGCCTGTAAACATAATTCTGCTTCTGTTATCTTATCTTAGGCTTTTTATCGGTCCAGGACAGTGCTTCTCAAGCTACCTGTAGTGACGAACATTTTCTTTCCTGGCCTAGAGCAGACTGATACTTTCATAAAACTGAGGGAAAGTTAGTAAAAATTAAATAAAGAAGACATAAAATACAAGCCCAGCATCCATATGCTTGGATGGCACAGCAAGATCTTATTGCTCTAACAGGTTCTTAGAACTTAATGCCAAGGTTTACGCTCCTCTTGGAAACAAATATTTCACTGAATTGAGTGTTAGTCCAGGGACCACGCTTTTGAGTAGCAGTGCTCCAGGTATCCGCTGGGTGGCGCATGCTGCAGGATTAAAGTCAAAGCTCGGGAATTTCTTCCTGTCAATACAGAAGCCAGTTTAGATTAAGAGCAAAGACTGCTAGGACAGCCGCTCTGTCATCTGACACAGTTAAGTCACCCCCCTCACCAGCCAGCACGTAGTGAAGTTGTGCTGTGTTTGGGGGGGGAACCACTGGAAAGCTCTTCCCAAGCCTCACTTATAACAGACACCACTGACTTAGGAGGAGGAGGCTTGTTACCCATCAGTGGGATTTATTATGTAAATTAAACAATGAAAAGTCCAATTAATTTCTTTCTCTTAACTTGACATAATAAAAGGATAATTTTAAAATTAGGTTCTATTTTTTTTTTAAAGTATACAACTCTTTCCCGCTTTTAGGTCTGATGAGAGGGAGCCCCTTAAAAGACCACACCACTGTAAAAGAAGGGAAGGAGAAGAATCACAGAATTTATACTTTTTCTTGTTCATGTTATCAGGTAAGTAAATGCTAATTTGAGGACTGCTCCCACCACTCATAAGTTTTGAGTCTGGGGGAGGGGCATGTTATTGGTATAATAAAAAAAATAATAACAACAGTTTTTATGGATTTCATAACAGGTATTGTGTGCTTTACATGCATTGTGTATTTACTCTTCAACACTGCTAGTATTATGCTCATTTTAAATATGGGGAAAATGCTCAAATAAGAACAACAAATTATCCAAGGTAATGTCCAGCTGGTAAGCTGATTTCAAAACCCATGCTGTTCTCTGCCTGCAGGACAGGCGGTGCCTTTATTTTTTTGCTTTTGTAAGTAATTACAAGAGAAACCAAAAAGCAGCCCCCAAACTGCTAGGAAGTGGCCTGGCACTCTGAGGAGGCCTCGGTGGTATGAGAAGTTGGCGGGCACTCAGGGCTAGGCCTTGGTGTTCTCCCGCTGAACACAATCTCATAGAACACCAATATTAGTCAAGGAAACTACAATGAAATTGGACCAAAAAAAAAAAAAAAAGTCAAGACTACTTCATAGTCTTGTGTAAGCCCAGACAATATCAAGGCTATTGTGAAAACCACAAAAATACCAAACTTCCTCTTCTGGATAATATGAATGACAACCTATTTTATTTTTTTTATACCAATCACAGCTTTGGCCTTATTTCATTCCTCCATCCTAGATAAGATTTACAAAGATACCTCATCACACAATTACCCTCACTTCCTAGCAACATTTAATCCAGAGGAGTTCTCCACTTCCTTGAAACCTCCCCCCAAATAAGCTAACAACCCAAATTAACACCTTTATATGAAGACACGCCCATGGCTCCCCAGGGTGTGTGTCATACTTGCTGCAATAAGCAATAAACCCACAACTTGTTTGATTACAGGTATGTTCATTGTGGACTTTGGATGGAAAGCACTGACAACTCTAAATGGAATTATGAAAGAATAGAAAAATAAATAGAAGTGTTTGGAATTATAGGTAGTAGGGGAGAACAGTTAACTGTTTACCAGAACTCTCTCCCTCTCCCTCTCTTCTCTTCTCCCATCCTCTTGCCCTCCTCCTCCTTCTTTCTCTCTCTTTCTCTATCTCTGTCTCTCCCTCTCTCTCTTTTTCTCACCTTCTCAGGTCCAACCACATAAACACACAAAATACAGAAGGAGGAAAATGATTTACATCTGCTCCTCGTATACAATCTTCTGGTACCAACCCTAAGTTGCTACAAAGAAACTGTGACAGTTTAGCCACCATCACTCTTCTCATAAGACTATAATAGGCATCCATGAGATAAGATGTAGAAAGAAAAAAAGCCTGCTGTATGGGGTAGGTTCTTTGCAAAGGTGCAAAAGGTGCTTATACATAGGCTATTGCTCAAGGAGCAACTGAAGGGTTTTTCCCATTTTTAAATATCTTTAAGAACTCTGAAACAGTGTCAGAAATTCCTATATCCATTAACTATATTCACTAACCAGAAGTAAAGTTCCAGGCCATCAGACAGCGCTTGTCAAGATGAAAATATGGAGATCACTGGTGCCAATCACTTTAGGAAAAAGAGGGAGTTTTGGGGAGTGACAGGTTTACAATCTGAAAGTAGGAATATTTTAAAAATGAAAGGGAAGAAGGTGGAATAAAACAAGGCTTCTTCTGGGTTAGGCAAATCAAGAGGGCTGCTCCTCTGGTAGGGCCACAAGAATCATGAAGGTCTAGTAAATTAAAAATGTCAGAAACATCTCTTACTCTGCACGCCTGCATCACCAGGGCCTGCTCATGACGGCAAGAAGCTGCTTTACAGGCCTGATTTTCACCTTCAGGCAAAAGCAGCAGCAAAAACACTAAATCATAGCAGAAATTTCAAATTCTACAATAATGAGTTTGCTTTAAATAAGAAAATATAACCACACTGTTCATTGGGTCCTTGATGCCATCTGAACAATTGTTGCTTTGACATCTATAAAAGCGACAAAGACTGGAAATATTTTGTGTCATGAGGGGTTTTGTAATACTGCAATACCTTTTATAATTTAGACTAGTATCTTTAATATTTCAAAAATGATACAGGCTGACAGTATTTTCAAAGAATTTCAAGTGACAATTTGCCAAACTGTATAGCACATTAAAAATTTATCCTGCTAATTCAAAGATTTGAATAATTCGGTTCTTTCTCAACACAATTTAATTGTTATTCTACTGCAAAAGACATAAAAATTTTGATTCTTTAAAACATACAAGATTAGTAATTTACATCTTCAGTAGCTAAGAAAAACTGAGCCACCCTTACAGGATGGAAAGCTTTAACATAATATGATACAAATCCATGAATAAGTACCTGATTCCCTTTAAAGAGTCATTATAATACATTCTGACAAAGGACTTAATTCTTGAACACTGTACATGTGAAAGCCTTCCCCATGAGAAAACCAATGAACCACTCACCCAACTACCATTTATGTACTCCATTTTCAAGTGCAAAAGGTGCTTGCCTCACTGAAACTGGCCAAAATTAATATTTTTCAAGAAACTGGAAAAATGGGAGTGGGGGAGTTGGTAAGTCAAGGCCTACTTGCATAATCTGAAGTATAATGATTTTTCCTATCTTGGCATTCATCCATAGTCAAGGTTCCTTGTTATTAGCTATGGAAACAATCATACTGAGTCCTCTGATGCTATAATGGATTACATTACATACAAATTTAAACATTAATTTAGAGATTTTTAAATCATTCGGAGTATTCTACATAGACTTCTGCCTAGTAATTTAATAAATATTCATGCCTGTAATGTGTTTAGAAATGGACTAGCTTCATGGGGCTCACTATAGTAACATACTGAAGCAGTTTCTTTAAGATGTTGAAAGAAGGCTATGAATATAACCACTCCTTAGGATGTCAAATAAATCACAGTAAATGACACATTAATGACAAGCTTACATTTTTAGGCCCTCATTTTAGGGAGCCTGTTAATTATTCATATGGCACTGATTAATTTATTTCCTTTTGTCAAACCTGCAAATCTACCACATTTTGAGCATTACATTAAAAAGTCACAACATAGTGGCTATTAAAAATTATAATTAATATTGAACTTTCGGCTCCCACATTTAAGCTGCAGTGATATATTGAACAACAAAAAAGATACATAAAGACTATGCATTTGTGCATCCATCTGTATACTTGTTCTTCCTATATTTAGTTTCTGACTGTGATCTAACTGATTTTTCCTCTCTCAGTCATATTCTATTAATTTGGTGATAGTTAATATAGAGGAGTAGTACAACAGCATCTTTAATTTTTTTTAAAGATCATTTATTAAACTGATGTAGCCATTTACCCCAATGTGACCTCTAGTTGCTTGGCTCGGGTGTTATTCCACATATGTGAAAATGTGATGGAGATCCCTTGTCAAGAACTATATAATTTTAATGAAGAGACAAAAATATCCTTCACCCAAAGCACTGACCTAAATTAGACATTAATTTTCTAGATACTCATATAGTCTCCTTAATTATAGTACTTCAAATCATTATGATACCGTATTGCCTAGAAGTGGAGAGAATCCCATTTGGTGCCCAAATGAAGAACTTGGCATGAATCTTTTCATCCTCCCCAAATATATCCAACTCTGTACAAAATACATCAGCAAGTGAAGATATTTTGACTAATCGTTTCAGTTTTACATCACACACGAATATAGAAATAGAGATACAGATCCAAGAAACACCTCTCCTTTTCTCTCATGGACCAGATAAGGCTAATGGCTGTGTTAGACAGAGCCTAGTCTTCCCCTGAAGATGCGCAGTAAACTTTTGGATCCATTTCAAAGTCTGTCGCATTTTTCCCCAAAACACATTTCCTCAGAATATGGTCACTTATCTGGAGTGGGCAAGAAGGTCATGAAAGGACATTTCTATTCCCTCATAACTATCATTTGGTTAATAAGAACTGCTAGTGTCGAAGCCATATTTAAAAGGAAATTGGAATCAAGGTCCTGTAAGGCAGAACACTGATAATCTTATTAACTCAAGTATTCATTTATTAAACAAATACTAATTTTTTGGTTATGCATAAAATTTTACGGAAAAGGGACTGAGAGATAATGAAATCTTTCAAACCCATATGCTTTGCCTGCAGGAACACACTTATTACCTGCTGTGATGTCACTGGGTAATTTTCCTGGCTGGAAGAGATTCAGCTTAAGTTTTCCATCATTAAGAAAGAGGAGGAGACTCCCTGAAACCAGCTGAAGTTCGCTGAATAGCAGAAGTCCTGCCTTGTTCCAGGTTCGAAATTGAAACGTGGCCAAAAGCTCGTCCTCCCCGGAAAAGCCTGGCAGGGCTAAGTAACTCCTAGGGCTGAGAAAAGTCACAGGCACAGACTGTGATTGTGAACAGGAAAACGACACATTTCCCTGAGAAGAAAGCAAAAGAAAAAGCTTTAAGAATGGCTCACATCATTTTAGTAACAGAAATGGAAGTATTCACAAAGGCCGTTTTTCGATCTATTATCCTTGGTTTAAAACAACAACAAATTGCTATCAACATGAAAAATCAAATCCTTGCCATATATCTTAAAGGCTCTTCAAATCTTGTGATAGTAAAATCTTTCCCTAGGTTCTTGGTGAAATCTGTTTTCCCCCAGCTCTCAACTTCTATAAAGGGCATCTAACTCAATGCCATTGAAGTCAATAAAAATTTATTTAAGCGAATTCTTTGTTTTTGTCTTTTCTTGGCTTTCCACTCCCTGGGCTCTGGGTGAAATCCTTTTCTCCTGCATCCTTTGATGCCTTTGGTTCTAATCCACCCCATAACATACCCAATATTAATGAGCTACTGTTTATCCTTCTGTATTTTTTTTCATATTTTTCTCTTTTCCCATTGGAACTCTTATTTATATATATAATATATATATATAGTTTCAGTTTTATGTTCAGCTATATGTACATAAGCACATACTTAGATATATGTTGACAATATACCTACACACTAGGCATTATTTATTTTACAATAATAGGAGCTATGTTTTAGAACTAAAAAATACCTTACGGAAATCACTTTGAGCCTGGCATAAGCCTAATTCCTTCTTTTTGTTGATTGCATAATACTCTATTATGTGAATAGTCCAACTTTTACTCAATTGTTTTCCTGTTAATGTGCTTGTTTCCAGGTTTTACCTCTCCCAGAAACGCTATAATAAATAACTCTGCACGCTCCTATGTGTATTTTCAGTTCTACAGAAGAGGGTTCTAAGTGCAAAACTATATATACCTATATGTTTTAATAAATATTTCCAGCTTCTTTTCCAAAAAGAAGTTAAAATACTCCACATTTCTACTGGTAATATATAAGGATATCCTTGTCCCCACATCCTTGGCAGGAATAGGTATTATAGGATCTTTTAAATCTGCACAAGTTCAATGACAAAATGCCAATGTTATATATCATTTTTATTTATCTTGCATTTACCTGACCAACAGTGAATCTGAGCATTTTTCATGAGTTCGTGGCTCTTTTGGACTAGCTTTCCTCAGAATGGTCTGTTTATATCCTTAGCACATTTTTCCTTTTTTTTTTTTTTAATATTTATTTATTTATTGTGGAGAGAGAGAGAGAAAGTGAGCACAAGCTGGGGGAGCAGCAGAGGGAGAGGGAGAGAAGCAGACTCCCTGCTGAGCAGGGAGCCCGATGCGGGGCTCGATCCCAGGACCCTGAGATCATGACCTGATGTGAAACCAAGAGTCAGATGCTTAACTGACTGAGCCACCCAGGCGCCCACATTTTTCCTTTTATGTTTTACATTGGACACTACAATGTATAATGTACTACTCACATTCCTTTATTTTTTTAAAAGATTTTATTTTTAAGTAATCTCTACACCCAATGTGGGGCTTGAACTCAAAACCTTAAGATCAAGAGTCGCATGATCTACTGAATGAGCCAGCCAGGTGCCCCAACCTTCCTTTATTTTTAAAACATTTATTTTAAAACATTTTTGGCTTTTTCTTATCATTTCTTATCATTATGCTTGTATCATCAGATTAACATGTATTATTTCTCATCTAATGGTTTATTATAAAATTTATTTATTATAAAATCTATTATAAGATCTTCAAGATACCTTAGAATTGCATAAATTTTCATTAAAATACTATAGATATATAAATTATTCTCCTACTAGAGTAAAATAGATAGTTAAGGATTTCAAAAAACTTTAAGGTCTAAATTATTTAGAAATAATTAAGCACATTCCTTAACAGGCTTCAGAAATTAATATAAAACATATTTATTTTTCCTGAAAGTAATCTTTAACATGTTTTCCAAATACAGATTTGAAAAGTCAGTGAAATTGACTTTATTTAGAAGGATACATTTTGGAATTAAACCATTTGGTCTTGGTTAAACAAAAATATTTGGTTATACTGTGATTCTGTTAAAAGTGAATTAGCTTTCATTGTGGACAAATATCTTGTCCCAGTGAATGAAATAACAAAAGTGGGAAAATAAACTACACTGACCCAAAATGTAAAGGCAGTTAGAAACTAACAAACCTCGTAAAACTGGAAACATTTTACCAGCTGCAGTTTGGTCTGATGCTTCATTTGGACGGCTGCCTGCTACCTTGCAAGCAGCAAATCCTCTTGCCATTGAAAAGTGGGTGTTAGCTGCATGAGCGGTTTCTGGAAACTCGTTTGCCCATGAAACACATCTATCTACAGTTTTTTGGTTTTTTTTTTTCCTTTTAAATCATCTTCCCTTTTATAAAAAAAAATAACTAAAAATCTTTCTGGATGGTATACTCCTACAAATACTACCAATTCACACAGAGAATCAGGAATAAAATCTTTTGTAAACAACAAATCTTCCCATGATACGCTTTGGAATTGGCTGACATAGCACGAGCTTAAACAGATATATCCTGAATTTTGAACAATTAAAGAAATGTATTGAAATGGATCTGTGTGTCTGCTTATCTATCATGAAGCTGGTTAAACTGGAAACCATGTTTCCCAGAACCCCCTTCCATGGCTGGTTCTGGTGAAAAGTGAGCCCAAAACGGAGCTTCTGTGATATTTGAGTCAAAAGTGAAATGCCAGCCATTTTCTTCCAAAGCGTTTTGAAGGATGATCACAGAGGAGCTGGTTTGTTCCAGTTTGTCCTGGCTCTCCTCCACTATGCTCTATCTCTTCTTCCTGACAGCTGGCCTCCACATTCCAGGTCCTCTGTTAAGATCCAAGTCCTAAAATAGATCCCTTGTTCATAAGACTCATAGTGGTGCTGCTTCCCTGACTGAACCCTGACCAGTACAGTCATATTTAAAATCTGTTGCATTTCCACAGAATTAGAATATAATGCAGGCTGACCAACACTGGTATTGGAACAGACTGGCAGATGCAGTGTTGTAACAGCCTATTCGTTTCTCTTATTTGTTATGAATGACCATGGCAAAATACAGTTTTCAAATGCCTCTCTAATATACATGGATGTTATCTGATTCCAGGAACTTGGCATGCTTATTTAGGGAGTTTGTCAGGGAATATCTTATTAAGGAAGTTACACAGCAAAGAAATTAGCCCCCTGGAGTAATAACATCACAGAATTAAATTATCAACTGTAAAAGAAAAATGCTTTACTTTATATAAAAATAAAATAATCATGCACTGTGCATTATAATTCCTTTAGATAGGATTAATCCTTTCCATGCATATTGCCTAGCAGAGAAAATTTTTAAAAGAGTAATTTCTAAAACATCGTATCATGTGGGAATCCAAACTGGAGAAGGTTTTTTTGCGTGGAAAAGTAACATAGTTTCACTCATTCATTTACATGAAGATTCTCTTACCATAGTGATGATCTCTGGTTTTTGTCGCTTGGCCAGATCAATGACATCTACTCCATTATAATAAAGGTTTTCTAGACACCCATGAAAATTCTTACGGGGGAATGACACTGATTTTCCAGGTGCTGGAATCCCTCCAAAGCTGATCTTAGAAAGAAAAATGGCATCAATAATATTGTTTAGTGATTTTCTGATAATCTGCTTAAATAATTATAATTAGCCGCTATAGCTTTAATCATCACAGATAAATCAATTTTTCATCACTCTACACTGCCATATTGCTAATTTCATATGGATATTTTTAAAAATTAAAATGCAGATTTGAAAACAAATTTACATGCATTCAGTTTTCATTTGCACGAGAGCTTGATTATTCTTACAAGTTACTAATCACATCTGGATTTGATGTTTATTGGTTGATGAAGAAAAATGCAGCTCTATATCCATGGTAAGCCTCTGTTTAATAACATAACTGGTTATAATGGCATTATGTTTTATCTACATTTCCAGCACATATTGGTTATTTGTGCATTTGAATCAATTGATAATCTATTCATTACTACAACCTCTCCATAAATCTACACTGCTCAAGGATGCCCTACAGCACACAAAAAAAAAACCACGCAACACATTCTATATCCACTTCTGGTAATACAATCTCCTGGACATTTCCTATGTGATAATCTGTGACTATACATTTCAGGTAATAAAGAAAATCTCTCTCTGTAAGAGTAGGTTAACATATTGTCAGAAAGATGAAGCATCAGTAGTATCTGCCCAAATCTGCCATTGTGAGTTAGGTCACCTTGGGAAACACTTCGCCGGGACTCGGAATTATTCTGAAAGAGGCGAGGGGTGCTCCCTACAATATATTTTCTTTTGCATGGCTACGCAACATACACATCATAAAAATCCGTATTAATTGAAACGTAACGGTCACACCTCATAATCAAGGTCCAGGTAACTGAATTCTCCCTGGGCGTGGAAACGGTGCCTGTGCTCATCCACTGTAAAGTTGACTTGTTTGCCCACGCGCTGGATGAGCACGGAGTGCCAGTGCTGATCGTCCAGCAGGCTGCCCAGGGTGAGATTGATGAGCGTGTGAGTGGAGGGCAGTTTGGCTTCACCTGAGAAGAGAAAAAAAATAACGGCACCATTATTCCCAGTCAAAAAAAAAAAAAAAAAATTTCCCCCTTGTGGACCAGCATCTCTCATAACTCATAATAATTGCAATGTCCTTCCTTGCATTCCATCCAAAACACTAGTATGGATCTACCTGAAGTTTGAATATAATATCCTCTCAACCTTGTTGTAATTTCTTCCACTGTTAATTCTTTTTATTAGTAGTTCCCATCACATGCTCATTTGCAATGTAAATTTTATCTTTGCTACAACCTCATTATTTTTACTACCTCAATATTTTCAATGACTTTCTTCATGATGTTTGAAAACAGCTATGTAGTTCTCCTGGCACTTTGTAAAAAATATCAAATGAGGGTCTTGTACAATTTGCAAAATATGAACCATCTGTACATGAAAGTGCAATATTGGTGTCCATATAAGCCCTTGAATATGGAAATAAGGCACCTTAACTATTAAAAGAGAAGCCATAAAAATATAAAGTGACTGAAGTGATATCCAAATGGCCAGATTTTCAAGTACTTCACCAAATAATTTTACCTGAATTAATAAGTAAAAAGAGTCTTCCTCTTCTTAATTCCAGTGTGATGTGATCTCCATTTTGCCCTTCCCGGTGGAGCAGAATTCCATCACTCTGCATAGTTTTAAATTTCAAAGAAATAATATCCTTTACTGGGCTCAGGGAGTTTTGATCAAATCTGTAGAGAAGGGAACTTTTTCCATCAAGATCAACCACCTCTGATCCTAGAGACAAAGACATTGAAAGTCATTCTAAAGGATGCATATGCTTTTTATTAAAGCATTTTAAATGCGTGTGTGTGTATGTATGTATGTATATATATATATATATATCATATATATATGATATATAAAGCATTGTGCATTGTGCATAAACACACACATGCACAGTTCAGTTCCAAGCCAGTCATAAAGGAAAATAAAAGTTCCAATGTCTAATTCTCTCTTGATGCCTGGGATTGACTCCATTTTCGTCTTTACTAACCTATTTACAAAATCGTGATCTAGAAATACATCTTAAATTGTATTCCTAATTTTCTCATATTATTGAAAGCTATTCTTTTCATTGAATAAACAAAAGAAAATCAGGAAAAGGATTATGATCAATACCCATAAAATCACTTTGCTTATTTCACAATCAGTATTTTTAATGATGTTCCTGAAGTGTTGAAGTTAAATGCTTTTTGGCTCCTGAAAAAATAGTTTTGATGTCTCAAAATTCTCTCATACGTGCTGTAGATAAGAGATCTACATACAAATACACACACATACATCAGACTCATCAAATGCCACCTCAAGTATATATTAAGCTGAACTTTGTGTTTCGTTTTATGATTTTTGTGGCTAAGTAATAGTACTTAAGAGCAATGCTGTATTCTGTCTTCTAGAGGACATCTTTGGAAAGTCATTCACTCAATGATATTATAAGGGCTGTTCTGCTGCATTTGTGTCAAAACTGTGACATTGACATGTTTTTTCAGCTTTCTGACAGTGTCTTATCTACTCATTGTCAAGATCACTTTTATTCAGTTCATCTGAAAAAAAGATGTCATGTTATACCAGTAACATAACAGCTCATCTGTCAAAATCAGTTGCACCCTGAACAACAGACACAAAATAGAACTGATAATCCTCAGAAAGCCTAGCAGTGTTTTCTACATTTCGTAAGTCAAAGATTTTTTTTAAGGCAATTACCTTGAGTGTACATTTATGTAATAAATGACAAGGTTAGGGAAACCCAATGAAGCTATTTTTCAACTGGTTAGCTAACTCTTCCCAGTCAATGAAATGACATTAAAGTTTACTCATTTTGTTTCATTTGACAAAATTATTACAGCTACTTGTATGCACAAGTATACATTTCATTCAGATTATCCATCATATTTAATGTGAACCATTTATAACTCACCACCCCCTGAAATTTTTTTCAACTATTTTATGCAGTTATCCTTTGAAAATTCAGAGGTTTGATATTTCCACATCTTGTTAATGTGCTTATAAAGAATTCATTCACCAAATGCACATGAATAAACATTGCATTCTGTAGAAAGAATAATGTTAACTGAACAATTATTCCTTGTTATATAGCTGAATGAATGTGCACGGTAAAAACATAACTGTGTCATATACAAATAATGTGTTCTATGATTATTAGATTACAATAAATTAAGAAAAATTCCAATAAGACAGACTTTAAATGCTGACACATTTGGAGCCATGCAGTTATCTCTTGAGTTAATGTATTGCTTAAAGGCAACCATCATAATAATGATTTTATTTTAGATAAAGTCTATTTTGGGGATTAGCTACCAAGACAATTTTTTTTCCAGTAAAGGTTCAACCTGTGTGACTTCAGCCTACTCTTTTTTTCTCTTCTTCGCTATTATATCATATTATAATGGTCACATTCATCCTTCATGGCACCCAAAGCTTTTGTGCCTACAATATTTCCATCAGTAAAAACAGGATAGTGAACGACTGATGCTTGAAACAATGGTGTACTGCCCCCTCTCTTAAACTGAAGCCACTTGCCACTTTCTTTCACTCTTACCTATTATCTCCTTACTCCATAGATAATACTTCAGTAATGTGAGACATTCGTTCAATAAGTATGTATTTAGCACATTGTTTTTGAGACCCTGGGATGGATGCTGAGATTAAGAGAGTGATCAACACCAGCATGGCCCCTGCCCTCATAGAGCTGACATTCCATGAAGATGGGACATGGCTTAACCAGTGAACAACCATGACGGACTGATCAAGCCTAACAGAAGACTAGGTCTCTTTAGTTAAGGTAGTTGGGGAAACCTCACCACTGACCTTCCTACTCCCCATGGTCTTCAAGTCCTATATGTGTCCCCATAAACTTTTAGAATTACTCTGAGGACATTTAATTCTCCAAAACCTCAGCATTCTCCCAACACTTTCTCTCCTTCACTGTCAGGAAAGGAAGTTCTGAGGGTTGCTGAGAAATATGGTGAGAGTCAGTAATTCAACTCTCAGAAGAGGAAGAAGAGTGAGCAGGGCTTGCCTTGAAAATGGGTCTGAAAGTGAGAAAGTAGTTTAATTAGGAGAAGAATAAACAGATTTCACATGTGTGTGAACAATAGCTTCAGAGAAAAAAGCTATATAATTCAGAATGTGAGTACAATGTCAGCATAGGAAAACTTTAACTTATATACGTACAACATATGTACAAGAATTTTCATTAAAAAAAAATTCAGGGGCGCCTGGGTGGCTCAGTTGGTTAAGCGACTGCCTTCGGCTCAGGTCACGATCCTGGAGTCCCAGGATCGAGTCCCGCATCGGGCTCCCTGCTCAGCGGGGAGTCTGCCTCTCCCTCTGACCCTCCCCCTTCTCATGTGCTCTCTCTCTCTCTCAAATAAATAAATAAATAAAATCTTTAAAAAAAAATTCAGGATGATTCCTAACAGTATTACTTTAAATAAAAGACTCACTTATAATGAGTCTAATATAAGTCACTGTTATAAAAAGCTATCTACACAACAGATCTGATATATAAAAAGCATACAATTTTCAACAATAATCACAAAACACTGTGTTGTGGCACATACAGTTAATGATATAAAAATCTGGAATTATATAAAAGAAGTCTTGAGAGAGACAGACACAGAGAGAGAGGTAAACAGAGAGAAAATGAATTTGAATTCATTATCAGAATCTAGCTCTCCAAGGATGCTGGTGGGAGGAGAGGTTTGTAGTTTCTCTTGAAAATTGTCTTACCCACTGTTAAGAAAAATTGGAAAAACTAGATATAATCCAGAGGAATAACTTCACATTCTTTCAATGTCATATAGGACCATTTCTTCACAGACTCACCTAAAGATTATTTAATTCTAGGTGAATTAATAAATGTCTGATTTTACTACTTATTACAGATTAGGATAGACTTTGTTAAGTTACATGTTAATTTGTAGATTTCTTTTCCCAGTAGAAATACAAATGGCTCTACAGTTATGGTTTTATTGCCCTGTTGGACATTAACTATTTACGTACCCAACTTAGTAAAAGTAATCCAACATTCTTTCTTGGATTCCTATCTACACTCAGTCTCTTGAATCTTCTTCCAACTAGCTTTACCATTCTTTTGACTCCTTTTTTAATTAATCAAATACATCTTTCATATGTGTTTATTCTGTATTTGAATTTAAGTCATGTTTTTTTGCTTTTGAAAATTCTACTTTCTTTTTCAACATTTTTTTATTATATTATGTTAATCACCATACATTACATCATTAGTTTTTGATGTAGTGTTCCATGATTCATTGTTTGCGTATAACACTCAGTGCTCCATGCAGAACGTGCCCTCTCTAATTCCCATCACCAGGCTAACCCCTCCCCCAAACCCCCTCCCCTCTAGGACCCTCAGTTTGTTTCTCAGAGTCCATAGTCTCTCATGGTTCGTCTCCCCCTCTGATTTCCGCCCCTTCATTCTTCCCTTCCTGCTATCTTCTTCTTCTTCTTCTTCTTTTTTTTTAACTACTTTCAACATTACTAACTTAAAAAGTACAACTTGGGCTTCACATCATTGACTGGGGAAGCAACATTTTTTTTTAAAGATTCTATTTATTTATTTGACAGGGAGAGAGAGAGAGAGATCACACGTAGGCAGAGCAGCAGGCAAGGGAGAGGGAGAAGCAGGCTCCCGGTTGAGCAGAGAGCCCAAAGCAGGGCTCGATCCCAGAACCCTGGGATCATGTCCTGAGCCAAAGGCAGATGCTTAACCGAATGAGCCACCCAGGTGTCCCTGGGAAAGTATCAGCCATCACCAGTAACATTCAAGGCAAATTTATTTTCACTATTCCACAAAGGACACTACCAATGCAAATACATTCTCACAAAAGAAAAGTTCAGATGATTCATAACAGTATTTCTTTACATTGAAACTAACTTATGAAAGATTTGATGAGAGTAGGCCATTAAGGAAAGCAATTTAACTCAATATTTATTTGTTTAGAAATACTAAAAGAAGCATCCAAAGTAATATTCTTGTTTCAAATAACAGAATCACACTTATGCCCATCTTTTGTCACTTTCAGAAGAAGAATCTTTTGTACACAGGCGAAATGTATAAATAGGAAAAGTAGAGGTATCAGAAAATTCAGAAGTTAACAAAATTTATAACAGTAAAAGACCTATAGTCCAAAGATGTAGGAAGAGACATGTTACTTGACTGAAAGAATTATGTACTAATGGTAAATCTGTTCATTAGTAGGCTTATAACTGAGGTTATATTTTTTTTATTTTTTTTATTATTAACATACAATGTATTATTTGTTTCAGGGGTACAGGTCTGTGATTCATCAGTCTTTTTTTTTTTTTAAGATTTTATTTATCTATTTGACAGAGAGAGACACAGTGAGAGAGGGAACACAAGCAGGGGGAGCGGGAGAGGGAGAAACGGGCTTCCCACTGAGCAGGGAGCCTGATGTGGGGCTCGATCCCAGGACCCTGGGATCATGACCTGAGCCGAAGGCAGACGCTTAACGACTGAGCCACCCAGGCGCCCCATCAGTCTTTTTTTTTTAATGACTAAATTACTGTAGATATTAATAATGTGGCCCTGTCATACCCTGTTCACCATAGGGAGGATATAAACTCTAATTTTCTAGTCACAAGTCGCAAATTGTTCTGACACATTTATCCCCCTCCAGCTAGTCCCCTTCTGAACCATTTTTTTAAAGATTTTATTTTTTATTTGAGAG